ACACACACACACACACACACACACACACACACACACACATGGTATCTCATTAGCAATCACAACACATTTAGGACATCACACGGAATACACAGCACATTACTGATTCATGAAAAGTAAGTGTTCACATAAATGTTAAAGGCAGTAACAGTACTTAAGAAGGTAGCTAATGATCGATTTAGCCCTTATAAGATCTGATTTACTTCCCATATACCTATGTTAACTATTTTGTAGTTTAAGTGCTAAATACTGAAGTATGGTCATAGATACCTGATATTTCTCTCCTATGTAAAAAAGAACTGCTAGAAGGAACTTTTGTGAACTTGGCCTAACGTCTACAATCCACAATATAGTTGCGAGGGGCATATCATGTTCCCTGACTACATTTTCATTTAAATATGCCTTCATGGAAGGATGGAGGATGGATAGAGGCTTAAGGAACATTCAAGATGACAAAAAATGAAAAATAGGACCACAACAAGCAAGACAGAGAAAAATTAGAAGAGGGATGTGATCTAAAAATACAGAAGAAAAATTTACAAGTTGGAAGGAAATAACAGTGCTAATTTGCATGCAGAGGCTAAATGGAGAGGTTTTGGACTCCCACTCTGAACCCTATTACAAATGATGAATGGCCAAGCCAGCCATGCTTGGCAATAGCAGAGGTGAATGCTGACTAACACACAAAAGGGAAATATATATGTGAAGAATTTAAAGAAAATAACATTCAATTCACAATCCATTGGGCAGAGGAACTCTTCTAAAAATGTAGATTGAAGGTATGGTCCAGAAAAGAGAGTTAATTACACATCTGCATTTTAAGAGTGTAACAAGAGAAGTGCTTCAAGAGAAGAGGAAAAGGAGTCCACATACATATACACATAGGACAAAGAAACTAAAATGGTAAATGTGTAGGTAGGTATAAAGGAATATATTGGCCATCTATTTTATGTAAAATTTCTATAATAGTTTGTTGAAATAAAACTTATAACCCCATATGATTCACAATGCATGAAGATCCAATAGATAAACTCATCACTTTATTAAAAGAAATGTATGTAGAATACTCATATGAATCAATAAATATTGTAATTACCAGGCAAATAGGAAGGCCTCAGGTCAAAGAAGTAATTGTACCAAAAAACAGGGTACTAGATTTAGGGCTGGGAATGTGGCTTACTACAGAGTGTTTGTCTAGCATGCATGGTATCAATTCTACAGTGCCATGTGAACAGAAAAACTAGAAATGGGGAAAACGATTGAAGACACTTTAAAAAAAATCTACAAATAATGCATTGAAATATACAAAGCTCAGTATGAATAGTCAGGAGAAGAATTCAAATCAAAATTCTACAGAAATAACTACTTTATATATGTTACTATGGACAGAGTTTTAAATAAAAACAACAAATATCCTTCCAAAGTCTAACAAAGGCTGGGAAGGATGTGAATTCAATTTGAACCTTGGTGCATGTCTGGCAGGAATGTAAAACAATCAAAGATGGTATGGACAGCGCTAAAAAGAACTAAATAGAGAATTACATAGGCATATGGTCCAGCACTTCTATTTCTAGATTTGTACCCAGCAGAAGAGAAAGCAGGGACTAGAAGTAGTATTAGAGAATCACTTCACAGCAAATACTGACAAGAACCAAAAGACAGACACAGGTAAAAGAATAGATAAAGACATTGAAAAGGAAGACAAGTTTACTACATTTTACAACAGGGTTGATCTTTGAATACATTAAGCTAAGTAAAATACAGCAGTCATAAAAGCACAGCCATGGTATGATTTCCCTTACTGAGCTTTCAAGGATCAACAAAGTCATAGAGCCAAAAAGTAAGATGGTTCCAGAGACTGGGGTAGAGAGGAAAAGGAGCTGCCTATTAATGATTATACAGCTTCATACATGGAAAATGAAACATGCTGTACATGGATGGAAGAGATGGCTGCACAACAATGCAGCCATATGAACTATCAGTGAACTCTGAATTGAAAAAGGGTAATGTAGCCACACAGGATGGAACATACCTATACACCCTGAACTTGGGAAATTCAAAAAGGATGACCAGCCAGGCTAGGTTCCATAACAATTTCAAGAGCATGCTGGACTACTTATCAAGACCTGTCTTCAAAAGGAATAGGGAATGATTTGTATTGACAAAGCTCATAAAATTCTCAAACTTTATAGACCATGACAATGACAATTTGCCTTGTGAAGTTGAAAATGTGTTTTTGACTTCAACTAAGCATCTCTGTTCCACAATACTGTGACATATGTGAAATTTATATAATCACTTACTCTCAATTTAAACAACAACAAAAAAAGTTAGAGAAGGGGTGGTTTAGGAGAAATGGGTGACAATGTTGTCAGACATCTTCTATTCACATATTGTTTTGTAGAATGGCAACTTCTTTGTACAACTACTTAAACCTAATAATAAAATAAATTGTTTGAAAAAAGAAATATGGAAAAACCAAATTTTAGACTCTCTGAATTGGATCAGAGATATAAGTGCTATATGTGTCTATTTTTCCAATTGAAATAACAATTTAAAATTTATGAACAAACTTTTAAGCCACATTTTAGCTGGAAACATACAACTACAAATAGCATTAATAACAAACACACATGGACCAAAAATGCAAAGTATTCTTTTTATTTTTTTTTTTTGTCGGTTGTGTGGCTTGAACTCTAGGCTTGGGCACTGTCCCTCAGGTCTTCAACTAAAGACTAATGCTCTACCATTTGAGCCACTGTGCTACTTCCGGTGTCCTGAGTGGTTTATTGGAGATAAGTGTCTTATGGACTTTCCTGTCCAGGCTGGCTTTGAACCAGGATCCTCAGCTCTCAGCCTCCTGAGTAGCTAGGATGAGAGGTGTGGGCCATCGGAGCCTGAACAAAAATGCAAATTACTCTAATCTGTGCATTTTATTTTTAGTTTTTGTATATCTTTTCACTGACTATTTTTCAAGTGTATCTCATATTACTGAATCAGTTCTCCAGGTAGTTTCCCAAGGATATTTTGCCAAATATATTATCTAGTAGCGAGTTCCTCAGAGATCAAAGTCTATCACTGAGCTGATCTTGGTCATGTTTTGCTACCAGTGATATTTCAAATCTAAAATAACCTGGTCACTGTATTGTTTATTATAAAAACAAACTTCTATCTTATACTGGCAATGAATGAAAATATTCAAATGGAACAAGAAGAAAATATAAAACTACACTACCACATCAAATCAAGTTAGATCAGATAAACACAATAGGATCAGGCTCATCAATTTTTTTTTTTTTGCTGTGAATTGATAGGTAGACGGTTTTAATTACCTGTAGGGAATGCTGACGTTGAGCTGAAAGTGGAAAAGGTTTGAGAGGTTGAACTCCACCCATACTGCACTTAGTACACTGAGAGCTGGCCATGGAAAACTTAAAACAGACATCTCTGGAGCTGGTTAAGAGACTGGAGTGCCAACCCCCTGCCTCAGGGCTAGAAAGATTGGAGCTGAATGAACTTTGGATGCTGTTGACCTTGAAGGCTAGGTAAGATGGACTTCATGCGTAGAATATTCTGAGAAGCAGTCTCCTGTCTCAAAAGTATAACACAGAAAAGGAGGAGGTAATGCTTGATAAGAAATACTCATTATGTACTGTAACCCCATAGAAGTGTGGAGGAAAGTTCTGGGAAGATGGCAGAGGAGAACGTGGAGGCTAAACAAGCTCTTGCATAGAAAACAGTTTTAGTGCTCCAGTGAACAGCCAGAGAATCATACCAAGTGTGCCATCACAGTACAGAGAGTTAGGCCAGAGAGGGAAAATCCAGGCAAGGAGATAGATCTGACATTAGCCAGCAGATGGTGCTGCAGCAGTGGAGGCGGAGGCCTTAGCCACCATACCTGCAAAACAGAGAGTCTGGGACAAAGGCCCCAGATGCGGTGGATGAGCAGATTCTACTCAGCACCAGCAAGAACTGACAAGGAGCAGACATCTTCATCTTGCAGTTCCCAGACCAGAGATGACCCAGGAACCAAGACTCCAGGGTGAGTAGAAACCTGTCATCCTCACTCCTTTTCAGGGAGCAGAGGAGGGAAGGCCACCCCTACCCCCCACTACCAGAGATCTCCATATTTGATACTGACAAAGGCCTGGCTGAGCTGCAGGCTCCAACTCAGGCCTTCGAAGAAAACAAACCTTACATATGTTTGTGCAAATGGAACAAAGGAATGTGTTCATATTATTTTGAGAAAGGGGATGAGGAAAGGAATGCCATGACAATCCATCAAAGCACAGTTAAAGGTGACAAAGGAACGTTATTTACACTACTTACACCAGAAAGGGGCCTGCGACTACTTTGTGCATGGCTGGGTACCCAGAACCAAGAGCAGGCTCAACCTCCAAACCTCCAATGGGCAGCCCTGACCTTACTAGTTGGACTGCAAACCTCCTATTAGTCAATCTGAAAATCTCCAAAGCTCCAATGCTTCAAAGCTCCCATGCTGCAAATGGGGAGGCTTTTCCTTTTGCTTCCTTCCTCCTTCTCTGTGGGCCTCTCCACTCCACACAGGCTTTTTGCAGGCCTTAAGACTTGCCACTTTCCTCTCCAGACACCTCACCAGAGGCTCCAGGCTTCTCCACAGGCCCTGATCTGCTGCAATAGGTTCCTCTTACTGTCCTTTTCTCTGGCATCTCAATCTCCACCCCAGCTAATGGGAACAAGCAGCTTATATATCGGCTGTGTCCCCTCCCCGTCTCCAACAGTTTCATCTGCCATTCACCCTCCTCCCCCAAGCCACCCACTCACAACCATTTTGCACACCTTACCCTTTCAGTGGCCCAGACCCTTAGCGATGACTTCACCATGGGTCTTGGCCTTCCCACCCCATTGTTTGTTAAAGGAAGGGTATGAGTGTGCATTCACATACAAAATGGAAATAGCACAATGAACCTCCTTTGTTCAACAAATATACACTAATTAAACGTAAGGGAAATCATAGTTTCCCTTATCAGCAAAAACTAATCTATGTCTAGGACAAGCAGAAGAGGTCAAAAGCTATGTACACATGACCATATAAGCTGATGCTAAGCGAAATGAAGCCCAAGACAGGGACACAAGAGATTTTATTTTTCTTGCTGTTCTTTTTGATGGGCTTATAATGTACTTTATGATTTTTTTTGTTTCTTTGTATGTTCTTCTGTCATGCCATAAACCATGTTGTCACTGTCTTTGATTCTGGTGTCTTGCATCTTGTATATACATTTTTCTAATTGAGGAGGGGAATGGAAATAATAAAATGCTGACATAAGAATATAGGATGGCCCATTGTAACAATGACTTGTACAAGGAACTATGTTGAAAAGGAACTTTACAACATGGGTGGGGTGGGAAGACTTTTGGAGGTGGGGAGTAACGTGATGGTAGGGGAAAAACAAAGGAGGGGGAAACAAATGCTCTATAAGAAATGGACTCATTACCTTGCTCATATAACTGCAATCCCTCTGGACACTATCATATGTATATGTGTGTGTGTGTGTGTGTGTGTGTGTGTGTATGTATATACATAAGTATGTCTGTGTGTGTTTGTGTGTGTGGTAAATAACATATCCAAGATATTTTTTATAAATGTTCAGTCAGCCAGGTGCTGGTGACTCATGCCTCTCATCCTAACTACTCCGGAGGCCAGGATCCAAGGATAATACTTCCAAATTATTTCTATTAGAAAAGCCTAGGCGACTCATATCTCCAGTTGATTATGAAAGGATACAAGACAAACAAAAAAGGTGAATGTTGAGCTATGACTTATCAAGTAGACCACTAGTCTAAAGCAAAAAAAAAGGTCTGGATAGCTCTCAAGCACTGTAGGCCAAGCACACACAAAAATAACATTCAACATATTATAAAAATACCTGTCTCCTATGAGACAGATGAGGATGGTGGATTGGTGTGAAGCCTTTGCTCTGCATGTGTGAGGCTCAAGTTTTGAAATTTAGTGCCACAAATACAAATATTGTAAGACAAGAATGAAGTCTTATCAATATGTAAATAATAGTGATTCATGCTTAACAATATCAACCTGAAATTTCAAAAATGAATTTTGATATCATAGTTCATGGTGTTACTTCATTGAAAAGGAACTGATGGAAGTTCCAGTAAGATGGCAGAGAAGTTGGAGGCTAAACAAGCTTTCGCATAGAAAGCACTTGTAGTGTTTCAGTGAACAGTCCTAAGCCAGAGAATCACACCAGGTGTGCCATCACAGTACAGAGAGTTAGGTCAGAGAGGGAAAATCCAGGCAAGGAGAAAGATCTGAGCACTAGCAAGCAGCAGTGACTGGGTGGTAGCGGAGGCTGTAGCCGCCATACCTGCAACAAAGGCCCCATAAGTGTGGTGTGTGAGTGAATTCGACTCAACACCAGCAAGAACTGACAAGGAGCAGACATCTTCATCCTGAAGTTCCCAGACCAGAGAAGACTCAGGAACCAAGACTCCAGTGTGAGTAGAAGACTGAAATCCTAATTCCATCTCAGGGAGCAGAGAAGGGAAGGCTACCCTTCCCCCCACTACCAGAGATCTCCATCTTTGATACTGACAAAGGCCTGGCTGAGCAGCTAGCTCCAACTCAGGCCTTGGAAGAAAACAAGAGTCATTTAGCAGGTCACAGGAAACTAACCTGACCTGCTAGGCTCAGCTCCACCCAAGGGGAAGTCACCCAGCCAGGGCCCGGCCCTAGCCCCAAGAGTGGCTTTCTTCACTGGGTAAACAGAGACAGAGGCTGCCCTTCCCTATAGCAGCCTTGACAATCAATTGAAATTCAGTAAACATAATGCCTGAGAATGGCTCCAGGCTGGGCTCTGTGAGTCTCTCAGAAGCTAGCCCCTCAGGGAAAAGCTACTGTTTGCTGAAAGGCCTCAACTCTATCCAGAACCTAGCCTCTTCACAGCATCTCCAAATTAGAGGAAACAGCCAACTCCATCTTTTGTGATATGCAAAGCAGATCTCCCTCCCATTAAATTACCCTGGGAGAAGGATCACAAACTCCTGGGTAAAGCAGAGCATTTTTCTGCCTGCCCAAACAAACTGACCTAAGAAACCAACCAAGCAACAGGAAAACCAAATACTGCAAGCAGATCAGAGACTGTAACAAGAGACTGGTTAAGGACACAAGGGATCTTCCCATAAGACTCCCGCCCCCCCCCAAAAAAAATCAAATAGTCTTTTTTTGTACCTTTCATAAAAGTTTTTTTTTTCTAAAACTCTATTTTTATTTTTTTATTGTGAAAATCCTGTACAGAGGGGTTACAATTACATGGGTAAGATAATGAGTACATTTCTTATCAAGCACTGCAGCCTCCTCCTTTGTTTCCCCTTCCCATCCCTTCCCGGCCTCCCCCCACTCCCTCACCCAACCCCCCCCACCAAAGTTGTAAAGTTTGTCTAAAACTTTTTTAATTTTTATCTTAAAAAATTGTTTTGTATTAACTTTTTCCCCCTCCTCTTATAATTTTCATTTTAGGGGTATATGTGTGTATGCTTTTTTTTCTTTAAAAAAAATTTTTTTTTAGCTCTCCTGACCTTTTGATCCTTTTTTTTCTTTCATTGGCATTCTTTTCACCTTTTCTTCTCTTTCATTCTTCTTTGCGTGACAATTGTTGTTCTGCTCATCCTTATATACCCTTAGTCGATTATTAGACCTAATTCCCCATTGTGTACAACTTAATTCAGAAATATATTACTGAATTCAAAACCTCTTAGACTTGAATTCTTTAATAGCAGTACTCTTTATACCTATATAATATTTTAAGCATTTTTTAGTTTTTCACGTCCCTTTAGCCCTCCACTTCTCTCATTCTATCTACATTTTTCTTGGAAATGATGTTTTTAAATTTGAATAATTCAGTGTTGCACTGTTTAATTTGTAATTTTTATTTTTCTATTTTTCTTATCTCTTTGTTTCTTTCTCTTTCTCTTTTTGAAGCTCTCTCTACTTCCATTCTATCCACTCTATTTCCCGCTTCTGCCTTTCCACATCCCTCTATTCCTATTTTTACCCACATCTCTCAATAAACCTAATAATTTCTGGTTTGTCAAATTCTTCTTTGCGGTTCATAGCCCAAATACACAGTTGTTTGATGTTGAATAGTATATCTGTTGAACTAAATTGTAACTGCAGGATTTTGACTGTGCAACTACAGACTTTGGATGATGCTGGCCTTAAGATAGTGTTCTAGCATAAAATTGGTATTACTTTCATCCCTAATGGCCAGAGCAAGCTGGAAAAACACAAGAAAAATGGCAAGTCCAGGCATTTCAACTCCCACTAAGGATAATCTGCTGACAGAAGAGATAATGAATTATCCAGAGGGGAGTTCCCAAATAGCTCTACAAACACTGCTTGTAAACATTGTAAATGAAAACATTGAATACCTGTAAAGGACTCTGTGAGCATGATATGGAGAGAGGAGGCAAACCAAAGGTTAATACAGGAATATCATGAGTGTGAGGAAGCTACTCAAAAATTGATACAGGAATTACTTGAGCACCTTGAGAACACTCAAAGAGAAATAAAGGAATCCATGAGCAGACAGAGATCAGTCAAAGAGAAAGTGAGGAATGGCAAGAGCAGGCTGAGAACACTCAAGGAGAACTACAGGAATTGCGTGAACATGAGGAAGCTAAGCAGAGAGTAATACAGGAATTGCGAGACAAGGATGAGCATACACAAAGATCACTAAAGGCATTCATGGAATCTATTAACAGACAACTGAAAGAAGTCAGGGAGACCACAAAGGGAATGCTGAATGGAACCCAACAGACAAGTAAGCCATAACCAATCAACTAAGTGATTTGCAAATAAACACTGAATACCAAATTAAGGAAGTCAAGTGGTTCATACAAGATCTAAAACAAAGTTCCAACAAAGAATTTGAAGCCATCAAAGCTGACCAATTAGAAGGAAAAGAAATAAAAAAAACAAAGTAGATAAATCTTGACAGTAGGTTAGACCATTCAGAAGATCAAATCCTAGGGATTGAAGACAACCTAGATATTACAGAGAAAGAACATACAACCATCCAAGACAAATCCAAGAGATATGATAGATCTAACTTGCCAAACATGCAAAAAGATAGGCCTATTCACATACAAGAAGAAAATGGCCCCCATAAACAGGCGGGAGTTGCAAACCTAATACCAGGTAAAACAGACTTCAAGATAAAATTTGTGAGAAGAGATAAAGAAGGTCGCTACTTACTAATTAAGGGATTTCTCCTTCAGGACGATATTCCAAATATCTATTCACCAAACAACGGAGCACCCAAATATATCCAAGAAATATTACTTTCCCTCAAATCCCACATAGATCCAAAGACATTAATTGTTGGGGACTTTAACACACCACTTTCCCCAGTGGATAGATCAACTCTGCAAAAACTCAACAGAGAAACCTCAGATCCTAACAACTGCATAGATCAACTAGATTTAACAGACATCTACCAAATATTTCACACAGCAGCATCAGAAACACTTTTTCCTCAGAAGCACATAGAACATTTTCCAAAATAGACCACATTTTAGGCCACAAAGCAAACTTGTCCAATTTCAGAAACATTGAAGTAATACCTTGCATTCTCTCAGACCAGAACAGAATAAAATTAGAACTCAACACCAAAAGCCACCAAAAGAAAGTCCTATAATACATGGAGGCAGAACAACACACTGCTGAATCACGAGTGGTTCATGGAAGAGGTTAGAAAGTGCCACGCCGACCCCAGTGGAGTCTGCTTAGCATGGGAAACCATCTATCAGACCATGATAGGGGCTTCAGAGACCTATCTCTGAGTTTTGGGACTTCACCGAAGTCTAC